TTTTCCCTTGTTTTGTCTATCTGAAGGCCAAGCTACAAGCACACCGTGGCAGCTGCTGATTGGAGGTCTCCATGCCTCCGCTCTGTATAATACACTTGCATTCTGTTGTTCGTGTTGTTCGTGTTGTCTCTACCATTGACAATAAAACATGTCTTCTGTCGGAATTAAAGACGCGATCCCAGACTATGTCATCTTCTTCAGGTGGTGGAAGGATGCGGGCCTTGTCTGTTGAAGAAGATGACAAAGTCTGGGATCGTGTCATAATTCAGACAGAAGACATGTTTTATTGTCGATGGTAGAGACAGCACGATCAACAGATACAACAGAATGCAAGTGTATTATACAGAGCGGAGGCATGGAGACCTCCAATCAGCAGCTGCCACGGTGTGCTTGTAGCTTGGCCTTCAGATAGACAAAACAAGGGAAAAGTACTGGCTTCTGCACATTGATAGATTGATGAGTTTAACTTTAACAAAAGTTGCTTAAAAGTGTTATGAAATCTCACACTGTAACATCTAGAGAACAGAAGACTTTTTTTTTTTTACACAAAAAGTGTTTTTTTTTTTAAGCCAAAACTGAAAAACCTCAAGAGAAACCATGCATCTTGATCAGCACACTTGGACAATCTGCACAGCCCCTGATTCCAGTCAGGCCTGCTGTGAGCTGCTGAGACATCCACAGCCTCAAACAGTGAGACTCCAAACTCCACTATGGCCAACACCAAAGAGCTGTCGAAGGACACCAGGAAAAGAATTGTAGACCTGCACCAGACTGGGAAGAGTGAATCTACAATAGGCAAGCAGCTTGGTGTGAACAAATCAATTGTGGGAGCAATTATCAGAAAATGGAAGACATACAAGACCACTGATAATCTCCCTCGATCTGGGGCTCCACTCAAGATCTCATCCCGTGGGGTCAAAATGATCATGAGAAAGGTGATCAAAAATCTCAGAACCACACGAGGGGACCTGATGAATGACCTGCAGAGAGCTGGGACCAAAGTAACAAAGGTTACCATCAGTAACACACTACGACGACAGGGAATCAAATCGTCTGGCACTGCAGACATGCACTGCTGAAGCCAGTGCATGTCCAGGCCCGTCTGAAGTTTGCAAGAGAGCACATGGATGATACAGCAGAGGATTGGGAGAATGTCATGTGGTCAGATGAAACCAAAGTAGAACTGTTTGGTATAAACTCAACTTGTCGTGTTTGGATGAAGAAGAATACTGAGTTGCATCCCAAGAACACCAAACCTACTGTGAAGCATGGGGGTGGAAACATCATGCTTTGGGGCTGTTTTTTGCTAAGGGGACAAGACGACTGATTCGTGTTAAGGAAAGAATAAATGGGGCCATGTATCGTGAGATTTTGAGCCAAAACCTCCTTCCATTGAGTTGAATTTCTGTTATTGACCAAATACTTATTTTCCACCATAATTTACAAATAAATTCTTTAAAAATCCTACAATGTGAATTCCTGGATTATTTTTCACATTCTGTCTCTCACAGTTGAAGTGTATCTATGAGGAAAATTACAAACCACTGTCATTATTTTAAGTGGGAGAACTTGCACAATTGGTGGCTGTCTAAATACTTTTTTGCCCCACTGTATATCATTGTGGTCACTGCTGTTTCCTCTGGCGTCTGCACACGGCCCTGCAGTCCCATTTATGGGTATTAATGGGTGGGTACCTATGCTAAGTACCTATGCTAATGACTCACCTGGCACTCGCGCTCTAGATGCTATACCCAATTATTTTGTTAATGCGTTAATAAAAATGCTTATTACTGCATACAAGTTGTATAAAAATCCGTAATTTAATTGAAAACTTGAGCTCATTGATTCAGCTTGTGTATGAATTCAGGCTGTAAAAAGTGCTGAGTAGAGACTTAGCGTGATGCTCACAAAAGCCGACTTGCATTCTCATGGAAACGCAATGATTCTCGGCGTCTCAATTCCACTGTTTTCCATCAAATCAAAAACCCCGGATGCATATGAAAGCACTACACAAAAGAAGTAGAAGATACCTGTCTGAAAAGTCTAATTACAGCTTTTGAAATTATTTCCCGGAGCCCTGTCTGAGCTGTTGACATTTTATCCGAATCATCTCGCTCAAATGTCACGAGTAATAACTGCGGAGCGCGACAAAACAAAGAAGAACTTCTATTTTGGTGCTGTCGTGCAGTCTTTATCACAGACAAATGGCGCATCTCGGGTGAAGCACTGAAAAACACATCTGGAATTGGCAGACATTTCTCTGGGCAATGGGACATGTTTAGGCTTCTGTCTTGGGTGTCGGGAAGTGCCCTTATGGAAAACCTTAAAATTGCTTTACAAAACACATGACAACATTTCCTCAAATGCCCGGAGTCTGTCGATATTAGTTTCCATGTTTCTATTGTGGCAAACATAAATAAATCAGGATGTATTATTTAGAGTGTGTAAATAATCCCAAAGAAAAATACATAATATGAAATAAGATGTGATTTAAAAACACGTCTTCTCATTAAAGTTTTACTTCAAGAAAAATAATCTAGGGCAGGGCCACATTAGTTCAGCAAAATTGTCCAGGAGCCAGCTACATATAAATTGACTAGATTCAGGAGGATCTTGGCTGTAATTCATTTTATTCAAACTACAACAGTAGCTATCTCGGAGGACATGATCGTTGAATTAGCCACACATCAGGGAATCAAACAGTTCAAACTCAAGAAATGCAATGACAGAAAACACAGAAGGGGAAGATGACCAATATCCATACATTTTGTTGAAAATTGAGTGTCCTGGATCATCATCCTTGTCCTTTGACCCTCTTGCACCGGCAAGCAATGTATTTGATAAAAAAAACCTAGGGGAATAACCTTGGGGAGGCCCACATTAAATGAGGTATGGTTTATATTGTTCACATTTGACAAATTTGGTTGAATGACAACCTACATTCAAGCTACATTCACGTCATACAATCAAAAACAAACGTCAGTGAGGTCAAACAAAGTCAATGACTGGATTCAAGAGTTTCTGAGCTTCACAACAAGGTAAACTATTGGTAGAGCTGAAGTTGGCTGGATGACAATGTGAATACAGTATGTGTTCATGGTTAATTTGGGTTGACGAGACAGGGGGGCATATACAATTATACAGAGGGCCACATTTAGTCTGCAGACCTTAGTTTGGACTGCTCTCAGTAAGTAATTAGTAGTAATCTTTATTTATATACCGCCTTTTCACTGCACATCGGAGTCTCAAAGCGGTTTACAATTGTTATATTTTGGGAGTGGAGGTGCCAGTACAGGAGGCACATGCCAGACCTATTGTACATATTTTTAGTGGTAGGGGAAACCGGAGCACCCGGAGGAAACCTACGCAGACACGGGGAGAACATGCAAACTCCACTCAGAAAGGCCCTGGTCCAACCGGGATTTGAACCCAGGACCTTCTTGCTGAGAGGCGAGAGTGCTATCCACTCAGCCACCGTGCCGCCCATTCATCACTGTCCTCTCAGGACAGTGATGATCCCAGACATTTATGGACATGGTCCATCTGTATGGACCAAAGGTTCCCATGCGTTAGTTATTTATTCTATTTTTTATTTATTTGAGAAAGGAGGAACAACACATATCAATGAGAATTTTCACAAATATACAGTAAATATGTCAGATTATAGCCTTAGGCTAATTTCCATCTGCTGACTCCCTGGCAGTTTGGTGTTACAACACAAGATACTGTAAGATAGGCTTTATTGACATTTTTACATGTCACATCTGGCATGGATAGAATCACTCAAGATTTGTGCGAAGAAAGAAGTGTGCAAACATGATAAATGCAGGATATACTGTATGATGTACAATAAAAAAGTGGAAATTAAAGAAAAAGTAAAAAAATACAGAGACACTTATGGACTATATACAGAGAGACAGGGACAAGAACAGTTATCGCATCATGTTAGAACAAGTAACAAGAGTAGACAACAAAGAACAATGTAGAAAACAGTGACAGAATCACATCATCTGGGTTGCACAAACCCAAGTATTGCACATACCCTGACTGCGCTAATATTACACTGACCCTTATTGCCCCACTCTATATTGTTCTGACCCGCATTACACTGACCTGTATGCTAATTGTTTCCCTTTTTTGCAATGCACCAACTCCGTTCCACGTCCATTTTATAATCATGAATACCTAAACATAATTACATGTTTGTGTGTCCCTCAGCTACATTTTTAAATGACTCCTGAAGGTAGGCAGACTGGTGCTTTCCCTCACTGACACCGGAGTACTATTTCAGAAACTCAGTTGCCTCTCGCAATGGTTCGAGTAATTCGAGACCTGGCAGCACTACTAGACTTTTGTTTAATAAAATCACTCATTGGTGGAGGTGCTGGGCCATGTAAAACCTTGTAGATTAGGCATGCTGATTTAAATTATTTGAAATGATCAAAATTTAATAATTTATATTTGTCAAATGGTCAGTTATCATTGTATTTCCTGTGTTTGAACGGTTTGATTCTCTGCTTTATTGTTGGCAAATTGACAACTTTGTGTAGTCCTTCGAGACAACTGATGTTGTGAATTAAGGCTGTACACAAATACATTGCACGATATAGCAAATTTAAAGCAACAGTGTGTCTGTGAAAAAGCACATTGTGTCTTTTGTCTCAGAACGTGTGAGGATGGGACAAGATGCCATGTCCATGATATGACATTCATCATCACAGTAGGACAGGATTTGGTCCAGTTACGCATTTCATCATGATCAAAACTTTTTTAGTCCCACTTTTATTCAATGGCTAGGGTTTTAGGGTTCTGGCCCTCTGACATCAGTATACACATGAGTTCAAATACTCAAATACTCTCCAATCAACAACTGCGCCAGACGCACAAAGTATGAATGTGCCTTTACTCGCTTTCACAGCCAGCAGCTCACAGATCACACACAGATCCGACTGGTAAAGCCTGGTGGCACAAGCTGCGTACAGTTAAAGCTGTGTACTCACTGGGACACAGGGCGTTGCAGGTGATCTTCTGCACAGACATGCCCTCACAGAAGGCTCCTCCGTTCAGGGGGGCGGGGTTAGTGCACGTCCTGGAGCGCTTCTGTATGCCTCGCCCACATGGCACGTTACAGGCCGACCACTCCGTCCACAGGGACCAGCCGCCGTTCACTGAGGAACAACAAAGACAAGCATGTTTTCTAAAGACAAGAACTAAAGAATATTCATGTTTATACAGACCAAAACACAGAACTCCATTCCATTGCACGTTTGTCGCTCAACTTTGCTCAACTCAACGCAGGACGCGTTGAGTTCTAGTTCAGAGATTTTCCATTGGGTGGGTCCCTAACTTATACTTGTAATTTTTTCACATTTTCAAACTGTATTAACTCGAAGGGAGGAAATAGAAGGGAATGTTTGAGAAATACATTTGGCAACCAGATAAAGGACTCATCTTCACAGGTGAGTAAACAAGTAACAGATGCGTTCGCTCTTTCCCATGTTTGTTTTTCAAGTCCTACTCTGTGAGTTTGGGAACATGTAAATAAGTACTTCCTATTTTTTATTTATATAGCCACTTACAATTGTTGTGATTTTTCCATTTGCCCTCTTCCGAAAAACAAGGAGCTACAAGAATATATAAAGAGAACCTTCATGGGGAGAACATGCAAACTGCAATGACAGAATTCATTTGGTTTTTTAATTGGCTTCCACAATGATATAGTCACAATGCAGCGTTTAAAAGCATAACTGTTGAAAAATAAGAAATTCACCAAAATACAAGCACTCTCTTGTTGATGAGTGATCAATACGTAACAATCCATGAATTAATGTAAGAGAGGTGAGGGACGTTTGAGTCCTTCCAGGCTTCCAGAGTGTACTCCCGGCACGTTTGAGCAGATAAAGCTGCTTTATATTCTGCTCTCAGATGGACTGTGTGTGACAGATAAGTAAGTCACCTGCAGAGAGCTGCAAATGCAGGATTCACCCATGACTAACTTTATCTCAGGGTGAGAACATGTAACCACCGTCTTCACACTAGGACACAAACTCAAATACTTGTGTGTTTAAAAGCTACTGTATGCTCGCACATTTTGCATATGTTTACGTTTAAAGACATCTACATGCATAATCTGCTGATATTCATAACCACCATGTTATTGCAGAGGCTTAAAAAACAAGCCACAACCTTATGGAGTGTGGGTGGCTTTTCCTCGTCACATATCTGTAATTTATAGCATCAGCGTTTGCCTACAAAGAGATATACAGATACATTCCAAGCAAAGGAGACAAGCTTGTGGCACACTCCTGAATAATGTATGGATAATAATAAATAACTTTAAGTCACAAAAACAAAGAAGTAATACTGTTGCAGCACGGTCATCATAGGTTCACTTTCCATTTGGTTTGACTTGTTTGTGATCTATGACATAAGAAGAATAATCAATGTCCATCCATCCATCCATTTTCTATCCCTTAAAGTGATAGTCTGTAACTCTAAATTAATTACAAATTTTAGGAAATGTGTTAAATTGACCTCCTGGCCCTGATTGTTGATATAAAATAAGTCATTTTATTAATTCTAATATTACGGGCAAGTCGCGCCTTCCCTTCTCTTAGCTATTGACCCCTTGCATGTGACGTCCCGGCCACGCCCACTCTCCATGACAGACAGCAGAAGTCTAACTGCGAGCCTACGGACACCTGACCAAAACAACCTGTTTCAGCGCATTACAGCCAAAACTGTGACATTTTGCAGTGCGGTTGATTATACTAACAGGCAGGGCTGGACTGGCCATCGGGCGTACCGGGCAATGCCCGAAGGGCCGATGCCCATATTTGGGCCGGTCTGTCTGCCTCATACAAAAAACAAGTTTGTGAAAAGTGTAAATCCGTTAAGAAATGTTTGAGGAGAGCGCGCGTGTCCGCGGGGCACCTGCTGCATGTACTCAAACGGGATTCCACCACCTCACCGGCCGCAGTGTTCCCGCATCCAGCTCCTCTGAGCTGGACGCAGGAACCGCTCACCGGGAACCGCTCACAACACGGTGAGCGCGTAGCCGCAACGTGACCATGTACCCAAGTTCATAAACGCGCATATAGGACCATGCGTGTCTTTGCGTAATTTGTGCACCCAATAAATACACCGCTGCAGAAAACAGTCCGCGTCTCCCCTCTCCTCTAAATTAAAGCCCGGGTACCTAAATTTTCCATTGCATTAAAAGTTCATGTTTGAGCCCAAAAGTAAAATGTTGTGAACAGATTAAACAGATTTAGAGCCAGCTAAACAATAGTATTGTCTGTGTCCACCTCCCTCACTCTGAGACATGTTTATTACTCTGTTTTATGTAGACTATTGTACTTTATTTTATTGTTGAAACTGCACATATCCTGATCCTCTACAGTATTTGCTTCCACATACTGTATAAACCAGGGGTCGGCAACCTTTAGTGCACCTAAAGTGGCTCCTGGAGCCTTTTAAAAAATGTCTGAAAATGGAGTGTGAGGGCTATATTTTATTTCTAGTTTGAATGTGGTTTCTGTAGGAGGAAAAACATTCTTAACGTTTTTCAATGCTGCAAAAACTTGTATAAGTATTAAGTAATATTCAATTTTAGCATTTCTGTCAACGTAGTGAGTCATATCCTGTGACGCGGCCCGTACCAGGCGGCCGCTGCTGTAAACAAACCGGCGTGTGTGCATTATAGACTGTGTGTGCGCATGGATCTCAAAGATAAAGAGAGAGTCGATAATAAGACTGGACTAAGTATGAGAATGAACATTTGCTTTCAGTCAATGAGGAAGGACTGCTTCATGTTTGCGATGTAATGAAAAGTTTTGTTGCAACAGGAGGAACAATGAAGCTTTAAACACCGTTCACTGAAAGATTCATTTATCATAAAGTCAGAGCACCTATTTTCAGACTTCAAATACCTTCGCAAAGACGGTGAAAGAAAAGGCCATTAAGGACATTCAGCTCCAGAAAACTTCAGCCTGTGATGTGATGGATATGAGCAGACAGTGATGCAGGTGAACTCGGAGCCAAAAAGCAGATTTATTTACTGTATTTGTACAATTGCATGAAGGTTAAACTTAAAGCAGAGTTGTCACGTGGTGCCTCATTCTCTCCAAGACACGCTGCAATGAAAATACACATTTGATAATCATGAATGGTTTTTATGTGTTTAGCCTTTACTTTGTCATTTAGATATTAGGCTAATATAGCTAATGTAGCTAAGGTAGCTAATGTAGCTAATACAGCTTCAGCCCCTGTTACCTTCATATAAGCCTTATACAACGCTGTTTTTTTTTTTTTTTGCGGCTCCACACAGAAGTTGTTTTTAGTTTTTTTGTCAAATATGGCTCCTTGAACCTTTTGAGTTGCCTGGGCCGCTAAGAAGGAAAAAATGCCCGGGCCATTTTTTTGTCCCAGTCCAGCCCTGCTAACAGGCAAGGACATAAGCTTTTTTATCTGATACCTGCTCGTCATGAAGACAGAAGACGACGATGGCCAGCGGAAATTAACCAAAAGGACTGGGACCCATCCAAGTACTCCCTAATATGCAGTGAACACTTTTTACAAGATAAAGCAATCACAAGTTTGTATTTATTTTATTTCCATTAATTTGGAGGACAATGACACACGTCAAACGTGTCTCTTACTACTGTCCTGTATGTGGGCTGCAACATTGACATTTTTATCTTTTAAGTCAATTGCGTGTTTCACTATTTTCCTCTCCGTCAGTACGTATCATGTTTGGCTGTAGACAGAAAAGCCACAGAAAAGTGGACTATTGCTAATGCTACAAGCAAAATGTACATATAAATCTGCTCCAGTGTGAGGGGATGCATTGTTAACAATAATGATAAAGATCATGTAGGGTGAATTTTGGCAAAAATAGACATTTTATTTAATCGATAAAATTGACTGTGGGGAGAAGGTACGGGTCAACATCCAGTTAGGCAATCCTTAACTTCTCCAAATACCACTCTTTGTGAGCCCTGACATGATGTCCTACTTCCACCTATAACGTAATCGAACATGTGCTTGAAGCAGCCACTTCTCAATTTAGGAGAGGAAGCTCCGTTTTTAAGAGTTGTGTCCGTTTTGCTCTCGCAGCAATGCTAGTTTCCAATACTTCCGCCGTAAGCTCATTCACAATCACGTGACTGGATGACGTTGATGCATCTGGTCAATAGCTCAGAATCCACGGTGCCGTCGAGGTTAACCAATCGAGTCATGCCAAGGGCTGTCAATCATCGGCGCTGATGCTCGCAGCTGCGCGCATGCTCAGTTGTTTGTTTTTGCTGAGCCTCCGAATCAAGCCTCTATTAGGCTCTGGAACTACATGAAAACTGAACAAAGTATTCTGAACAATTCTGAGGTACTTGTGTATATACTGAACCTATATCCATAATCAGATCCTCTGCAGATGTGTCCTATAATGTGAAATTCCTGATAATAGCTTATTCCGGGTTTGCCGCGATCGCTTTTTTTGTGCATAAAAACATTATTTTTTTCATTAAAACGTTAACAAATAATTTTGAAAACCTCCATGCATGTGTATTAATAATGTATATGTAAAATGTGTTCTCTCATTAACATTTACAAGTGTTACAGAAACGTAGGTGTAGACCAATCAGAAAGGAAGGGGGAGGGAGCTTGCGTCGTTTTTTTCAAATATCTTCCTGACAAACTCCAGACAATCACTTTAATGGGGGATGAGGGGTGACTAGAGAGTCCACAGAATGGCTGCTTTATGGCCTTGGTCCTTCAGTAGGGGAATCCAGGCAAAGTGGAATTAAGTGTCTTACTCAAGGACAAGACACACAAGCTCATTAATGTTATTACGGTACGTTTCCTCCTGCAGACGTCATGCAGAATTTCTGCCGGGATCTAATCACAAAATCTGTACTAGAATTGACCATGCTGCTATCCAGAATATATAACTACAATATGTGTTAATAATATTTTGGGTGTTCATTTTGACATGTTAAGATGAATTATGTAAAAAAAACGGCTTTGAAGTCGCACTTTTTCACAAACGCTAGGGGGAGCCAAAATTGCAGCGATGAGGTAGGTGAATGATCCTTTCACAGCAGCGGACCGCAGTCATGGCTGGAAACTGTAGGAACATCGAGTTAATTGATGATGAATCTGGGGAAGAATCTGAGGTTTCACTGTCATCTGAACAAGGTATAAACATATTTTCATCAGTTTTGTACATTATAGTGTGCTACTCTTTTAACCTTTTAGCCTTATATTTGAGATTCAAGCTAACAACTTGCCCCCAGTCCCCAGTGTTGGACAAGTTAGCTAACGCTACTTGAAATCAAGATATCATAAAACATGCTAACAAGGCTAATATTCGTTTTTACTAGGGCTGTCAAATGATAAATTTTTTTAATCGAGTTAATTACAGCTTTAAATTAATTAATCGTAATTAATCACATTTCAAACTATTGGCAATATTTTTCTGTAAATGGTTGTTTGAATGGAAAGATAAATGGCAGCTTAGTGAACATATGTACTGTATTTGTTTGTTATAACAATAAATCCATATAAAATGGAATCAACATTATTAAAATTCTGTCTTTCTGTTTAGACTCAGACCAAAACTATTGTGTGTTACAGATGAGGGACATTTCAAAATAGTCTGAATAGTCTGAAATGCAGAATTTCATTAAATCTGTTTGATTTGCTCACACCATTACTTTTTTTGGCAAAACTAACATGAACTGGTAGTCGAAAGGAAAATTAGGTTCCTCAGCTTTAATTTAGCGAGTGCGCTTCGGGAGAAGACACGGAGGAGACTGAGGCTCCGCAGTCCAGCTTCAGCGCTGTACATATTGTGTGCATCGGTTATGCAAAGATACGTACGCACACTAGAGAATAGTTCTGTAATAGTTCTGTGCGTGGTCTTGGATATGATCCCATTACGCAGCGCTGTTCGCCGTGATCACAGCCGCTGGAAGTGGGAACTGCTGTCCAGAGGGCTGTCGCGGCCGCAGCTCATCATGCAGAGTTCATACAGGAAACTACAAGTGCCCTGCGGTCACGCGTGTATTCTTTCAAAACTTGAATTCCCAGAGGGTCTACCTGCTCTTACACACGCATGTGTCCGCGGCATTCTGAGTGTTATTATGGGACGCATGGGCATGCGTCAAATGCGTTAATTTTTTTAACGCGATTAATGAAAAAAATTAATTAACGTGCGTTAACGCAATAATTTTGACAGCCCTAGTTTTTACATTATGCCAGTCACACTGTGGTTGCCTTAGATTTATTTACCACAATGTACATTGTAATATCCAAAAATGCTAATCAAAATAACTTGAATTAAATAAATATTTTACTATTATGAACATACTATATGAACAAAAAGCTGCTGAAGTTGAAAACATAGACATGGGAGCTAACATGATACATGTGATATAATCATTGACATTTTTAGTGAACTGTTGATAGGTGTTTTAGGCATTTATGGATTAGCTTGAATCTCAAATATAAGGCTAAAAGGTTAAAAGAGTTGCACACTAGTATGTACAAAACTGATTAAAATATGTTTATACCTTGTTCAGATGACAGTGAAACCTCCTACAGATTCCAGCCCAGACTGCTGTCTGCTGCTGTGAAAGGATCATTCTCATACGTCATCGCTGCAATTTTGGTGCCCCCTAGCGTTTTTATGCAGAAGTGAAAAAGTGTGACTTCAAAGCCATTTTTTTAACATAATTCATTTGAACATGTCAAAATGAACACCCAAAATATTATAAACACATATTGTAGTTATATATTCTGAATAGCAGCATGGTCAATTCTAGTACTACTTTAATGAACACTTTATAAACTACAGCAATAAATAAATTAGTACCTTATTATGCGTCTGTCAGGTCTAATTGTCTAATCATGCAGCTACAGTATATTCATGCAAACATGCCAACACATAATCTAGTATTATAATGCAGTCTTTGTCTTGAGTCTCTCCAGATTGAAACAGCTCTAAACCTACGCCTCATTGCTGCAGACAGAGCAGCACCGCACCACTTTGCTCCCGACTCCAAGAGTTTACTTGGAGCAGCGAGTCCCACTGAAGTGAAATTAAATGTTTTGGAGCGGTTATCACGAGTGCAGAGCAGCCAGGCGCAGCAGCAGCGGGGGCCATGGGCAAATAAATACTTAATAACCAACACTGCTCTTAAATGGGATTAAGACACAGGGGCTCATTCTCTTTCATAAAGAACATGGTGATTGTAAATGAGCATGGCTAAATTGAGTTGTTGAATAATACATTGATCTAAATAAAGAGGAAACATGGCTTAGGGAAGACAGAGGCACGCTTAATCACTGGTTCAAGGAAATGTAATAAAGATGCTGGAGACTGTCTTAACAGTACCTAAGGCAGAGCTATGGAGGCGGGCCCATGTTGGAGTTCTAATAGTTGTAATAAACTGGGGATTTGGTAAAACATCTAACTGAAGATTATGGTCTAATGGTAGGGGTTTCAATGCTATTTCAGGGGTCCCAGCCTCAAAAGTAAAGATAATGTTGGATAGATGCACTCTTTGGTATTGGAGCTAAGCGAGTTTGGTCCTTTCTGGTCGGAAGAAATGGATCCAGAGATGTGACAGAGATCAAAAAGAAATGCATGTGACATAGTGAAAGACCCAAGTGGTTCTCGAGCCAGGGACCAGAGACAATCCCTCCCTCCAAATACCTATTAAAGCATCAAGGAAATTCCTTTCCTTATTGATGACCCAGAAGCCGGTGTTCTGTCTGTTGTGTAAGTGACAAGTAGGAACAGTCAGGAACGTTACTTCCAGGCTTCCTTAGCTCATTATCATTGAAACTGGGGACAATCGTTTAATAGCCTATAATTATCGGAAACTGGGGATGTTCCCTCTGTAGTGGTATTTAAATTAGATGTTAATGCAATGTTAGATTGCATTACATTACATTTAAGATTATGATCTAATAGTGGTAGTTTCAGAGCTATTTCAGGAATCCCAGACTGAAAAAGGAAATTTGATGTCAGATACAGCACAATAATGTTTTCTTTCCTTTTCTCATTGACCCAGTCAAAGTGGAGCATGACTCATGCATCTCTGTTGTAACGGCAAAATACACAAAATTCAATTTCACTGCTTGTCACCATAACCCACATGTTCCGTCATAATGTGCCAAAAAAGGACAGGAGGAAGCCTATGTTTACTTTTTTAAAACCCAAACCGTTCAGATATTTTTCAATTTTCTCCACAAGCGCTGATGACAAAAGCGAGACGCCGAACACACTGGCACATCAAAGCCCCCCCAATCAACACCATCGATCCACTCTCTCATTACATTCAGACCTATTTTACATGTTTTAGTGGTAGGGGACAGAAAGACCCTGTACCAACCAGGATTCAAACCCAGGACCTTATTGTTTAGAAGTAAGAGCTATCCACTCAGCCACCGTGCCGCCCTATGTGCTTTATACAGCTGTGCTTAAGCAAATAGCAAATAGCAAAAACTGGAATTACTTATATAACATAATTTCCTTCAGACGCGGAACATAATTTTGTTGCATGTGTAGAACCTTGCTACTTCTGAAACGCATTAGAACTACATGAATCACAGCAAAGAGAGAATAGTTCTCATCATTTTAGTGCATTTTGAGTGTTAATTCCAGTCCAGTTTTAAACAGTTGCAGGAGGATCAGCAAGGGACTGGTGCTGTGTAAATTGGGTGGCAGCTCTGATTGCCACCCCCCCCAACCCAGAAATGGATTAAGGGGAAGAAAATGTAATGTAATGAACATCCGTATAAAATATCAATGACATGTGGTAGTTTGCCACTCACCGACCACCACCACCACGGCCTGTGCGCTCCGTCTCCTGGCCACGATGTTGGAGGCTACGCAGGTGTAGTTCCCAGAGTCTGCGAGGCGTGCCTGGCTGATGATCAGGTTGTGGTCAGCACGCAGGTCCATCTTCTCGTCTGGGTGAACCGGCTCGTCGTTCTTCATCCACTCCACCTGTAGCGTGACGATAGAAGACGTCTCATTATTTTTGTGTCTGTGAGCAACACTTAGGCGAAAAACTTAGGCTGTTTACACATTTCTGCACAAATGAGTATGCCTAATAAATCTCTTCACGGAAGTCTGGCCTTGATTCCATTGCGTCACAGCGCCACCAACAGAATGGCAGAGGCTTTAAGCATTTTCAGCTTTATTGAGTTCATTCATGTGGACGTAAACATTTACAGAGCTGACTCTGTGATCACAGATAACTTTCTGAAACTATAAGCATTTTGACTTTGTGTGGTTGTAGTCTTAGTTTCTTGCGACAAATCAGCTGCACTCAAACCCTTGAAACATCCCAGGTTATTTAAGCAAATACAATCACACACACATTTACAAAATAAACGTAATTTAAGCCAGAGTTTAACTTTTGCCAAGCTTCAAACCCACATGGGTTTTGAACTGCCACTGATCACCGCTCTAATGCATATTATCTTCTCCATTCACATCACTAACATTCAGCTGTCATCCATCACTCAGCCTCTGTCCTCTGCTCTCTCTGCTTCCATTTGCATCCATAAACTTGCGACTTGTTGTTTATTATTACTGCTCTCCCATAAATCCATCAGGCTCCTCCGATTTGCCACAATGTAATTTTCGGGGGCACCCATGCACTGCTCTTACCGGGTGCGGTGAGGGGAGCACCAAAGCGGCACTAAGTTTCTAATTCATAATTGCTTTCCCTCCCCGCTGCTGGTAATTGGTTATGGTGCTACTTTGACTTCCTAATAGCTTCAGCATTGCCGTGCGCGCTGCAAAATTGCGGTTACATAGAAGTATATTGGGTTTGGGTCAGTGTTTAAGTGATGGTACATTATATTACATGGCTACCAGCTGGTATTAGCATATTGTGGGATTATAAAAGCTGCAGAAAGGTCTTTGGATCATGAAACTTCAATGTAATGGCAAATCTAAGAAGGGTTTGCATCAATGAGAATTGATTACAAACAACAGTGGTTTAAGATATTGCTTTTGGTAATAATGAAATAGACTAAACGTTAATGTACCCAAAGGGAATTTTGGAAAATTGGGAAAGAGTTATCTGTGCAATTTTACTGGCTATTTTTATGGTATGTTTCTAATGCACTGCGTATGGACTCCAACAACATCATATAACCGTGTGTATAACATGACAGTTAAATTGTATTTAAAGTCACCGTAAGTATTAGTTCAGAGGACTAAACTCAGTCATGCTCCTGACCGTCAGCGGTGGTGTCTCCTGCAACTGTATTTTACTGTGTTTTTGCGTTGTTTTAGGTCTGAGCGCTTCTGCAGCTGTCAAAAACCAGTTACGTATATTATATAGTTAGCTGTAATCCTCATAGAGCCCTAATAATTTTCTTCCACAATAAGGTAAATGTTCAGGGTGACGTCAGCTATGGCCATGCCCTACGTCTCCCAGCCTGGGAATATTGTCTGATTCCCCCTGGATGACCTGGAGGAGGTTTGCATTGGGGAGACATGTCTGGGTCTCTCTGCTCAGACTGCTGCCTTGGCACCTGCTCCCATGTAAGCTCAATGAAGCTCAATAGGAAAGTACTCCAACCCACTCTCTCTCCTATTGATTTGCACTGAAAAGTAAACTCCTCTTCCAAAGAAACTGTTTGTGTCACACTCACCACTTTGGGCTTAATATCGCTCTATGTGGTCCTGGTGTTTATATCCTGATTATGTCTTTGTAAATCATGATATGAGCCATATTACGATGGACCAATCAGATGCCTTCATTAATTGGCTCTTGCAAGCTTATGTTCAACTCACCCTCATATACATTGAGGCTAATACTATGGTAACGTCCACACTCGTTCAGTCCACTCCTAACATACAGTCTATCGTGCATGGATATGCATATTACAGTTTTTCTCTATTGCTACAACACAAAACCCAGTACTCTAAACCAAATGACCAGTTGCCTAAACACATTTAATAAAACAACCCCCCACTTTACACAACCATAAACACAATTCAGCTGTAGACACTGTTCACAAAACCCATCCTCTTTTTCTCAAAACTCAAAACTATTTTTTCCTTTGCTAAAACACTTTTTGCATATACTGTATATCTGCTCCAATATGCATTGTGAAGCTCATGGGATGCAAAATGCCTCCCACCGTCAGCAAAACTTGAACTCAACATACCTGGTGTCATTCACTAAACACAACTACTCATGGATCATCAAGGCAGAAGAGGAGGAGTTTGTGTTAGAAGAGGGAGAGGAGCAGGTCAAAGAGGGAGAGGAGCAGGTCAAAGAGGGAGAGGAGCAGGCCAAGAAGGGAGAGGAGCAGGTCAAAGAGAGAGAGGAGCAGGTCAAAAAGAGAGAGGAGCAGGTCAAAGAGAGAGAGGAGCAGGTCAAAGAGGGAGAGGAGCAGGCCAAGAAGGGAGAGGAGCAGGTCAAAGAGAGAGAGGAGCAGGTCAAAAAGAGAGAGGAGCAGGTCAAAGAGAGAGAGGAGCAGGTCAAAGAGGAGAAAGAGCAGGTCAAAGAGGAACAGGTCAAGGAGAGAGAGGAGCGTTGTTTGGTTATGGACAATATTGCCTGTGATGTTGATGAGGTCCTGTGGCCCGACCCAGCCCGATGACGTGATGCCGGCCAATGATCTCAGTGTCAACATACAGTAACACATACTGTACAACATGCAGTAATAAAATAAATCACACCCTGAACATTGTGTTTTCTTACTGTACTGTTGTATCTATTGTGTGTAATTGTTACTGTACTGTTGTATCTATTGTAATTGTTACTGTACTGTTGTATCTATTGTGTGTAATTGTTACTGTACTGTTGTATCTATTGTAATTGTTACTGTACTGTTGTATCTATTGTAATTGTTACTGTACTGTTGTATCTATTGTGTGTAATTGTTACTGTACTGTTGTATCTATTGTGTGTCATGGATCCTATGGAGTTACTCATGTTTGCATTAAGCTGTGATATAACTGCATTTTCTGCATTATGTAACTATTCTCATGAAACGCACAAATCTATACTAAACGCCCAATACATATTTGAGAATAAATAAGTGTTGCTAAAATGCATCCTGGCAGTTGTGAAACTGTAAATGAGTTTGCTTTTGAGAATATGAGCAACTGTTTTGGTGTGATGGGTCGGTTTTGAAAAGAGACTGAGGTTGTGTGTACGTAGCTTTAGAAAATTGTTTTGTGTTTAGAGTTTTGTGAAAAGGGAGGGCAGTATCGTGAAATGTGTTTAAGCAATAGAGAAAAACTGTAAGTTGGGCATTCATTAGAACCATCTCATCACTGCATTGATAAATTCCACTGCCCAAACAAACACTGTACTCTGGGTCTGAAGAGGAGTGGGGGATAATGGGGATATCCACAAATGCAAGTACAGTCAAAATAAATGGAAGTGGTTTGTTTTTCTTGCTTATGAAGTTGGTCTAGTTCTTAATGATGGCTATAAAAACATTGAAAATAAAGCCAAAATAGTATACTCGACTAAAGTTAACTTCTGGCGTCCCTTTAATCAAATGTGAGCGCAAACAAGCAGGATAGATATAAACAAAAATAAAAGGAGTGTGTTTATTTTGAGCATAGACAACCTGCCATTGTACGATAGACCAGGGGTGTCCAAACTAAAAAAACAAAGCCCACAAGCCAAATGCGGCCCGCTGTGACATTTGGTGGCCATCTGCCCCAAACACAAAGTTGACTTGCCATTGTGGCACTTTCATCATCCAACATCATCCAACCAACTTTAGCTCAACCTGTGTGTGTGTGTGTGTGTGTGTGTGTGTGCAGGGACTTCAAAGGAAAAAGCTTCTCCTCATACCCTATTCTTTTGATCTGTAATGAAAAAGAACCTAACAAACAAACTTTTCTAAATGATAATTGCCATGACCCTGGCCTGCATTTTGCGACCCACTAAAACTTGCAACGAATCTTCAAAGACTCCAGCTTTGTGCACAATTAAAAGATAGCCGTTAGCATCATAGCTAGCATCTCTTAGATAACAGCCAGGCAGGGGAGATGGCCTTCTGCTAATTTTCAATGATTAAAGTAATGTGCAATGGAACACCCGGCACAAAGCGATACACGCCCCTCCCCAAACCTCACCGTGACCTCCTAAATGTGTTTATTTTGGTTTTGTCCTGGGAAATTTACAACTTGAAAAGAGGCAATTAACGTGCATACAAGCTCGTTTTTTGTGCCAAGCTACTCCATTCTAGAGCCGTGTATCGCCTGGGTAATGAAGGACGATTGTGCAGATACACAAGTCACGATGAATGTTGCTGCAAAGCCATTACTGAGTATATTGTGGGGTTGTGAAGTGAATTATTAAGTAAAGTTAAACTTTATTGGCCCCACGGAGACATATCCGGAAGACAATATCATAATGTAAACACCAGGATCAAAAAGAGCACAAAACCAAAAATTTTTTAAGCCCAAAAATGGTGAGTGAGACACAAACAGTTACTGAGTTAGAAGAGTTTACATTTCAATATCAGTAAATCGCGCAAAGTCAAGCGCGATTTGGAGCAAAACATAATTAATGAGCATTCCCTATTGTGCTTCATTGAGCCATGGGGTTGGCATAGTCCATCCCTAGTTCAAACAAAGACGAGAGAAGAATATGAACCGGGAAATAGCAGAGGGGGTGCCAAAGGAACTACTTTGTGTTGATTCAAAATAGGAAGCCAAGGAAAAACCTCTAGGAGTGAGTAAAGAATCTCAAGAGACGTGAGCTATTTGTACAACTTAAGTTAGTTGCTACTCAGAGAATATACTTATGTGTACCAAAGTTGAGCTGACTTTTGGTTCTGCTGGATTTTTACATTTAGATTATGTCCCGTATGCATATTGTAAGTATAACTCTACAATGATTGTTCTTGTCATGAGGGCAGTTTTGGTGCTCCTCCTTCCTCCTCTGTCTTACACTCCCCTCCCCTTGTGTGTCTGTGAGTCTCCTCCCCATTGCAGGTGCCTGCTGTGAGATCCCACCGGTCTCCCATCAGGCCAATTGCGGAGAATATTTGTATGCTGGACATCCACTCAGCCACTGCCAATTTGTCCCTCGACTGCGGTAGAAGCAAAGCCTTTTCTGAAACTATTGAGAAACTAGTTTTGTGGACTTGTTTAAACATTTTTTTTGTATTTCCTCAGGTGGAGGACAGCTTGCTCATTGAAATCAATGGCTTGTGCTCATAGGCTCACTCTCACGCAATGGACAACCCACTCATTAGGAGAAGTGACAAGTTCTGGCCAGCTCTGGTTCTCCCAGTCTTGTGTGTGCAGTGTTTCTACTTTGGGACCAGCTTAAATAAGCTATACCCGATTTATCTTATAATGAGTTCATAGAAATGAGTATTACTACATACAAGTTGTATTAAAATCCATCATTTAATTGAAAACTTGAGCTTATTGATTCAGCTTGTGTATAAATTTAAGCCGTAAAAAGTGCTGATTTGAAACTTAGAGTTACGCTTACTCTCCTCCAATTACAGAACGAGAAGCAGCGCTGTCGCGAACAGGCTAGTCCGCTAGTGTGGTAAACAAGAGCAGTATGTTGGCAGAAAGTGGCTATAACTCCTCTGGCTGTATACACAGCCCAAACGACGCAACAGTGAGGACAAGAAGCGGGAACTAAAGCAAAAAAATTATCAAAGAAATCAAGCCCGGGTGAATATATGTAGCGTTATAGCTTACATTGTATCCTCTGGAGAGACCTGCAGGAGCGGGACTGCCTCGGACTACATTTGGACCGGGAACTAGCGGTAATCTTTCAGTTATATATTTTGTTAGCAGTGCGTTGCTTTTGTACTTTTGTACTAATGTTTGCATACGTATCAGATCGTAAATAAAACTAAATGGCTTCGTGGGAGGAGAGCATAGGGGAAATGAGAAGCCTGTGAGCGAGTTGGGCGGCTTAAAAAAACATTGCAGAAACGGATATAGCTCCTTTAACACAGTCCTGTTCTCACGCTTGAGCACAGAGGGACGAGTGAGCGTTCTGACTTATCAGCGTTGAGATAGAGCGGTACGAGTGGGAGCTAGGTTTGCTGTGAAAAAGTGTGGATTTATAGAAAAACCATTGAATTTCAAAAGTAGAAATAGTTTAGGATCACAAGGGGCAATAACATCCCCACAAAATCCAACCTTTGAGAAAGTTGAGGACGAGCTGTTTTAGTTCAAGGTCCTATATTACGCTTTTATTCATGTTTCACAGTCAATCCTATACACATGTGTGATAATAATGTGTGTGATACACCATACAACACTCACAACTTGTGAGATTATAGCCATCTCTTGTATAGAGGTGACGTCACCTCAACTCAAACGAGGTGATTCAGAGAGGAGTCTGCTCCTCTGTCTGTGAGCCCACCTCTCACCGCCAGTTCCATTGTCCCTGTAGTTCTGGAACAGTCTCAGTGAAGTGTCGCAGATGAACCCGTTATTATAATAGATCCATGAGATGAACAGATGAGAAAGGTCGAGCCGCTTTCTTCCTCTTCGGGGCAAATAGTGTGTAACCCTTGGCTCACGTTAGTTTAGGTAAGGTGGAACTAAAAGTATAGACCAGTTGCTAGGTTCAAAAGGATTACAATAAAAACTACGGTGAATGCTTAATGAAATGGCAGGAGGCAACAACAATATAAAGAAAAATGTTATTTAGTAAACAATTGAAAATAAATCAGTTTGATACAGTGTTTAACAAATGAGCATTGCCGGCAAATGCAAAACAAAAATATATCCCCAGTCCCATTGAGCTCAGTTAGTCTTTTATAAGTTGTAGTCAAGTCAATATTCTTTAAGTTCAGTTCTTTTCCTTCAGAAGTGGTTATTTAAGGTGTTACCACTCGGCACTTAGGAACGATGGTGGTTCAACTCGAATCCAGTTCTGGGCACAGGCTCGCCATCTCCATCCAGAGAGAATCCAAAGAATCCATCTAGGTTTTCTTTACCATGGAAAACTAGCCTGCACAACAATAATGGTATTATTGTTTACAGCTGTTATCCTATCTCTGCTATAGCTAAATCTTTTTACTCTATTATCATGTTACAAAGTATACAATAATATTTTACATGCATGTTTTTAACTCATATCCTTTTGTATTACATGAAATAGTTTTTAATCCTTGTAAAACAAATGAAAATATCACTATCCTTTTTTAAACAATTATTTAACCATAACATTATGATTAAATATTTTTAACAACTAGCATATAAATTTTTAAATGAATTTTCACTTGTAACTCAGAAAATTAATAATACTAATGAATTCAGATATTCCACTCCAAAATCAACAATTGTATCAGTAAAACCTACTGGGTTTAGCATTACAGAAGGAATACTATACACTTTCATAAAATAAACCATAGAAACGTACAATCAACCTCAAAATAATACTTACATATGACCAAAAATAGTATGAAACTAACAAAAAGTGCTTCTCAGTATAGTTATGAACTACATAGAATAAGGTAGAAACCATATTTAAACCAAAAATAGCTTTTACATTGCTAACAAACATAAAAAACGGCACTCGCGATTAGCGTTAGCATCGCGCCAGTATTAGCATTGCGCTAACACGTTTTTCTAGCCCTCACAAGGCATTGACTTA